GGTTCATGGGGACATGAAGAGTCGGACACGACTTAACGACTGAACAACAACACGCTAGACCAGATGCTAATATAGTCCAGCATCTCATTTTAAACAGGTCCAGTCAGGTGCTTCTGGGTCTCCAAAGGAAAGTTAGGAGAATTATCATGCCCTGTTCTTGTTCTCCAGAATCATATTTTCTCTTAATTTATAGCAACACATAATCATTTGTACACTCATAATTTTGGTAAGCTTCTTTCAGTCCTTAAGAACTGCCCAGTCTGTGACTCACCAAACCTTACATAGTGTGCAAAATGTGTACAGTATTTAGAGGAAGGAGGGTATATTCCAATCAGGAACTAAAAAAAAAAAAAAACTTTTATGAACTCCTGGGGCAACTGAAAGGAGAAAAGACATTTTTCACATTAGTTTTTAACTAACTGAAATTACCCATTTCTTCCAAACTCAGGCTTGTGCTCAGTCTTAACTATGGTTCATTAAAGCAAACCAATGTCAAACTTAAGTCAATAAAACTAACTTGTATTAAGAAACCATAATTAAGATTAAGTGGAGTTTGTGGATTTTACCTGACTCTACACTGGTTAACAGAAATGGAAGTGGTAACGTTTGGTCTACTTATGGCCCCACAGGAAGGTGAGGAATGTATACTGCTTTTTGTTTCTGAACATAGCCTCAGTCTCCTATGTTAAACTACTAAAGGGTAGGAAAATTGCCACTTAATTTCTTCATCTAATCAAAACCTCAGAAAAGAGCTAAACCTGAGCTGGCAGCTTTATACTCACAGTTTAAAAGCTAAAGTTGGCAATTTTATACCCTCCCTGTAAAGGCTTTACTCTCCTAATATAATTCTGAGTATTATTTTCATGTGTGTGGGTATGCATGCTTTATCTGTATAGGTCATAATGATGCAAACTGCTTATTTAAGATATGCAACAATGAAAATAAAGAATTTTGTCAATCAATCATCCACGGATCACTGAAACCTCTCCCAGTCATGTGATCCCTGCTTTACAGAAATTAATAAAAGGAAATGAAATGTTGAGCGACTCTATGTCATTTGTGTTCCTACATTCTTGACTTTTCATGCTCATTAGTGTGTGACTGCTGAGGCTATTCTCATTCTGCAAGGAAGGTTCAAGAACTGTTTGAAAGATATACCAGCAGACCTCACTAACTTTCAAGGAGTGGCCCTTTCTGTGTGATTTCCTGCTTGCTCAAGTAAAATGTTTAAGAAATGGCTTAAGATGTGGCAGTATATTTTTGTTAATTGACTCATGGTCAACTCTTGTTTTCAAGCTTATAAAACATTTACATTTCTGAACACCCTAGCAAATGCTCTGAATTATTAAATGAAAACCAGGATTTAAAAGGACATTAATTTGAAAAAAAATATTCTTATCACAAACTCCTTAGAAGGGCTAAACCAGCATATTATAAAGAAGGACAGCTAAAGAATTATACATTTTACTGAGGTAAAGTCCCCAGGGTCTTCTCAGAATGGTTGGGGCTAAAGGTTTTGTTTATCAGCAACCCAACTCAATTCTTGACTCTCCTCTGCCCCCCCACCCAACAGGCCCTGGATCTACTTATTTTTTAAGTATGGCTCTTGATATGCCATGTAAAGCCTTGCGTGGCCTTTAAGCCAATGGAAGAAAACTCCTGTGCTGAGTTTTCTATCCTCCGTGTGGATATGGAGGTGATACCCAGCCCCATTTTCAACTTACTGTCGGAATCCTCGCAATCAATTAGCCAACTTGCTAGCTTGCTTACTTCGTTTCTGCCATTGTAGATAGAAAGGGGGGGGGCGCCATGCCGGGAAAGAGCCGTTAGAAGCAGATGGGCTGTTGTCGGATTCTTAAGAACGCTGAAGGTCATGCCAGTGGGCGATGGGGGACTGGGAAAGCTGGCAAGGGGGGGGGTGCACTTAGAAATGGGCAAAAGTAACTTTTCGGCGTGTGCAGGCTTAGTCTTAGCAATGCTTTCGACCTGTACACTACTTCTCAATAAATGAGCTTTTCTTTGAACCTATATCAGTTTCAAGGAGACTTTCTTTCGTTGGGAATCGAGAGCGACAGATCATTACACTTATTTACTCAGAAGCAATCCCTGGGCCAAGCATCAGCAGCACCAACATGGTGGGGCAAATATCCGGGCCCATTGTCCCCTGAACCTTTCCTTCTTTCTATTCCTTGTTTTTTTAAAAATAATATTAAAAGCCTGAAAGGGGAAGTGTGAAGTTGGGTTGATACAGCTTTTCTCATTCTCTAATTTCTTTGGATCCTGCTCCTGATGCAACAGGTGACACATCGGAGACTAAAGGCACTTGAGGAAAATCATGGTTGTAGAGAGTAAGGAACATGACCTTGACAGACATATGCAGAAACCGTTGCCTAGGCAAAAGGGGCTGAAGCACTTTTAAGTCCAGAACAAGATAACATTTGGAAGTGGCTCAGGATGTCACCTCTCTAACTCACTGAACAATGAGAAGGAGGAGGAGGTACAGCACAATCAGACTTGCAAGATACTTATAGCCAATCTCAATAAAAGTACTTGTACCCTTCTTGTTAAGTTAATTTCCTGGTCTGGTCTAACTAGTGGGACTGACATTGATGTTGCTACCTCCTAACCATGGCATTCCTTTTTTATAACATCTCACTATTAAAAAGCAGGTGGTGGGGGGGGGGAGAAGACTTGCCAGTGTCACCTGCCCAAATTGGAAACCCAACATATTTTCCCTTTCTTTCACTCCCTCTCTAAAGCAGGGTTGGGTAACCTAAGGCTTGTGGACCACATACAACCCTAAGGTGCCCCATTTGACAACCCAATATTCAAGATTCTGCAGCTGAAAATGGCCACATCTCAACCACACACGTGTCTTTTCATTCAGATTGAGGGTGGGAATGAGAACAGGAGGCAACCTGTATTCATCCCATGCTTAACCTTATGATAATCCTAGGAAAAGGCTGAAAATAGTCTGAAAAATGCCTGGTTTTTTTCTGGCTGTTTGGGAAGGTTGGGGGATTTTAAGGATGGAAATGGGAGCACTTTGACTCCCAGAGGTCTTCCACTCTCAAGCCAACTTGTAAAATCTTGCCCTTTTCAGTGATGCCAACAGTGACATCAGCACCATGTTCTGGTGATGTCCTCTGCAGTCCTTTGAAAGACTGGGAGGCAGAATTACACCCTCCATCCCCTCTAACGTTGTCCATCACTACTGTACAAGAAGTGAGGGAAGGGCTGAGTCAGGCAGATTTAGAGACCTTTCCTTGTCACTTGTTCCAGCTATTGCAGTACCCCATTTCTCCAAAGTTTTGTGTGGGGCAGCAGAGGGATGAGAAGAGCACTTTGCCTATAAACTCTTCAAATCTGGCACCTTATTCATCAGACATCCTTCTCCAAGATGAGACAACAGCAACCATTAATAAAAGCAGCACCCTGCTAAATTCCATCCATTCTCTGACAAAAGTGGGTTGATCAGTAACTCTTGTTTCCACATCAGTCTTCCCCTACCTAATGCTATCCAGATGCACCCAGGCTACAAGAAGTTGCAAAATTGAAGGTTGTGAAGAGCTTGTCTAGTATATGGTTAAAGAAACAGTGTCTGCATGGGATCCTTCTTAAGCAAACCCATCACTTTGGCTCAAACTGTGTATTTCAAGTAGAACAAGGCCGATTTGGTAGCAAAACTGACAGAAATGCATGCACACCTTTGGGTCACAGTATACCTTTTTGTTTGGGATACATCAAAGTGAACAAAAGCATGTTAAGGAAAAGTCACTGAAATTAACTCTTACTGGATTTTCTGTCTGGTTGATTCCTATCAGGAAGACTAACTCTGAGCAGAACAGAGCAGCTACCAGGTTTTTGTGAATGCTGTGCAAGTTGGACCGCAATGTTCGGATCAAGACCAGAAGTATAAAGGTCAGCAACAAAGCTACCAGTGAGATGGAGACCGTTGTATAAGTGATGATCTTGAGAGGAAGTACTTCGCCATTCTGTGAAATAAAAGATTACTTATCAATCTGTTTATTACAGATATAGACCAATACAAAGAAAATATTATTCATTTATCTTTATTCCCATTCCAAATGCTCAGTTATTATGCTTTTTAAAGTAACATTAATTTCTTAATATATTTATTTGACTAAATGCTATTCCACCTCAAATCCAGATTCACTTAAGCAGTGTGAAGGGTTGTCAATTTCCAAGCATGATGTTTTAAAAAAACTTAAGGGAATATGTCGGACAGTGCAATTAATTCACTAACAAGTTTTTTTAGTGAAAGAAGACAAGGCAAGTCCCAATCTATGAAATGGGACTTACAACAACTCACTTTGTCATCTTATAGTAAGGATAAATACATTAAGTAATAGAGCAATTTGCAAACAGAAAGTATGATGCAAATGATTCAATATGGACAATTCTGGGTCCATATGTTGCTCTGAAAGGCATGGGTTGAGATGCAGGGCGAGGGGCATCTGCGGGGTGTGTGTGTCAAAATATTCAAGATGGTAGGCATGCTCATAAAAAGGGTGGGGGTTTAATCATGTAGGTGCCATCTTGAATTTTTTGCCCCCCTACCCCTACCCATAAAAGCCCCTGGGCCAGTAAGTGCCCAGCGAGAGACAACCTAGAAACCTGATGTGATTTGCCCGAGTCACAACAGAAGAAAAGCAAATATAAATTACTAAATATTGGAAGTAAATAATCACCAACCCGCTTTTAAAAAAAAAAAAAACTAGCTCTCTTGACACCTTATATCAAATAAGGCTTAGATTTAAAGCTGTCAAGAAATACAGGTAATCAGGAATTCATTAAAAATGACATTGCAGCAGAAGACCTGTGTTAGTCTATGATGGCAAATAATCAGGAATCCGATAGCACCTTTTCAGACTAGCTGAGGCTGCAGCTCATGGCAACTTATGCCTTTTAATAACATTTGCTCATCAAAAAAGGTGCTACCAGATTCCTGATTAAAAAATGACAGTAATTCATTTTCTAAAAATGTTCATTGTATGGTGGTGAGGAAACAAACGAAAATGAACCAAACAATAAGTCCTGCCCTCTGCAAACACTTTGTAGCTGAAACAGGGTATCGCGTGTTAAAACACAATACTTCGATAAACTGGAAGGCAGCTTTTAAAGTAAAAATAAAACACTAATTTAAAATGATCTCACTCACTACTTTCATCCCACACTGTTTCATTACTGAATATACAAAATAATCACAAGGGAACTGCTTACTTCACGTTTCGAAATATCCATTAGGACTGCAAAACTCGTCAGGTGGTTACACTGGCAAGTAATATGGTTCTGGTGCCGAGAAAACAGCTCGCACCCTTTTGAAGACCAGCCTCCTGCTTCTCTAGTTCTGGTCAATGAAAGAAAAAAATAAAGAAATGCCAGTTACATTTGTTATTTGACAGGCCAAACTGATTCAAGGATGGATTGGTATTTCAGTTTCTCACCACCCTCCCTCCTCTAAATAATTAACAATGCAACTGACATAACGTAACAGGCTTTTAAAAGTGCAGTTTTTATGAAAACTGGTGCATTCAAAAGTTTACCCCCACTTCTCAAGAGCAGTTACTCATGTCCTGGAGCAGCCTGCTCATTAATGCAGTGTCTGGCAATTGAAGTCAATGTTTGCAATAGGTAAAGGTTGTTATTTCTTTAACTTTGCCTCAACATGACAAATGACCAGATTATATACACGTAGCTTAAGAACTCAAGTAACCCATTATTATCACTTTATAAGACTTATAAGACTCTTTGATCTTTAAGTAATATTGAATCTTCTCCTGGTTAGAAAACTATAATAAAATCCCATTATTCTAAATCTCTCATATTATTTGGCATGTATCTATTTTTATATCCTAATATTGATTTCAATATTTGGGTACATGTCTTCAGGGATGTAATTTTGATGGCTCACATACTTATAACTCTGTAAGAGCTGTAATTTTTGCAGAAAGAAATACATGGCATGATTTAGAAAAAAAGAAGCACAGAAGCCCCTCATTCTTGGTAGGGCACCACACAGTCTCCTAGAACATTTGATAAACTGATCTCCTTCCCGAGAGGAATTCAGAATGGATGGAGTTCAGCTTCTTTTCTTAAAAAAAAAAAAAAAAAAAGCCTCTCCCATGTAATTCCATTTAGACAAAACAACAACAGCAACAACAACTGGTGAAAATTAGACTACACTTTTCTAATTCCACCAAGGTTCTTTAGGAAGGCAAATTAACCTCTTAGATAATTTCTGATTTGCTGCCTAGGCCCAGCATATCATACATGGAACACTGTTTTTGATTGGGTAAAACAACAGTCAGTCTCCCTGAAAGACAGTGGATTCCATTTATTCCCCAGAAAATTGGGGATGCATGCTCAGAAGTAAAGAGGAAAACAAGAGAATTGGTGAAAGGAACAAGGAGAGCCTGCCTACAAACATTGAGACAGGAGGTGCAGATAATCTCTCTCCAACTGTTATCTCTGCAGTTCAAAGAGGTATTAAGAACATAAACTATGTCCTGCTGGATTAGACCCCTGGCCCATCTAGTCCAGCAGTCTGTTCTCATAGTGGCCAACCAACCGCACAAGGAAGCCCACTAGTCTCCCAGCAGATGGTCACACTGCCATCAAAGTTAAGAACCATTGATCCTCATGACTTCCATAAGTATTAAGTATTAAGCAACTATTTAACTCAGCTGTCTGTATCAATTTTATTTGGAATTAGGAATACATGATTGTTTATCTTTTCTTGTTTTCCCTAATTTCTCTTTTCTTAATAAACTCTTATTATATATTGAGATTTGAATTCACTATTTTTCAAAAAGGAATTTTTCATTAGAACCTTCCCAATGTGTAAGACTGCATGGTTAAAATACAAGTACCCCATTTGTTTTTAGGATGCTCACAAGGTTTTGTTAAATTCTGCATTTCTGGGCTTTGGGCAAGAAGATCCAAAGCACCTTCCATTTTATTTTCCTTAGCAGAGGGCTGAAGGAGAAGGGTAACTGGTGGCTCCACATCTCTTATCACCCCTGGATTGATTGCCAGGCCTGGGAGTGATGGCAGAAGAATTGAGGAGAGATGGCTCTTTGCCTGCCAGTTCTCCAATTTCATGGATCAGGTATGTGGATTGGAAACTGGTGGGTACAGGAGAAGAGCTTGTGGTTTGAAACAACTGTGGTCTCCCACTCCCAAGATCAGAATGGCCTTAAAAAAAGTCCCAGCGACTGAAAAAAGGGAGTGTGCTCATGGCAGCCTAAAGCAGCCAACAGGAGCGGGGCTGATCTCAGCTTGAGTGCATCATCACCATTATGACCAATGAGGCATAGATTGTTTGAATGATAGATAATAACTGTGTTGAAAGAAGAGGAAAAATGGCTTTAAAAATGGCTTGAATAAATATGACTTTACATTGTTCTTGGTGGGCTGGGAATGAGATAAAGGCAGCTCGTGAGGATATAACTTGCAAAAATAGTCATGGGGTATCTTTCTGTCATGCTTAATGGGACATGAGAATGTGCCCTCAATCACAGTAGTTTCATAAATACTCTTTTCTACTGAATATATCCCTGGATGGATAAACTATTTTTTCCCCATGTGGGAATGGGAGGAAGAATGAAAAGAAGTCAGAGATTCCAGTGAAATCACTTTCCTTATACCCACAAGCATATCCTTTCTGTTTTTCATTACAAACAATAAAGATGACTAATAGAGTGACAGAAAGCTGCTGATAATTGTCTTCAAGCCAATTTGATACTGCTTCAAAAAGTGGATCGATAGTCTATGCTCTTTTAAAGTTGAAATAATATTTTTTAAGAAATAGAACTTATTTCCATTTAAATAGCTAGCTTTTATCTAGGTCCTTCTCAAACAAATATGTTTGATGTGTGAATTTGTCTAAAAAAGCCATCTCTCTGTTTGAATACCAGAATACTTTATAAAAAACTTTAGTACTTTATAAAAAAACGTTTAATAAAAACTTCTAACTTTTATTCCTAATCGGCAATAAATAACAGCCAATGAAGTTGTCATTGCTCTTTATACTATGCTATCTATATAAAAAAGATCAAATTATTACTCTTATGGAGAAAATCTATCTATGTGATTGTTGACATGGACTTGATGGCACATAATCAAGTCCATGTCAACTCAATCAATTACTATTATCCTTAAAATGCCCACACACAATAACTGTCTTCCAAAACAGAGCAGATTGGCAAACATACGCAATTGAATGGTTCCAGAACACACAAACAGGCTTTGTTCTCTCCTCCGTTTCCAGCATAACATGCTCAATCATAATTGGGCTGTCCAGCAGACTGGGCAAAGACTTTCCATCTCTATAAATGATTACACTGATTATTGGAGTATTAATGATGGGCCGGTTAGGTAACCTGGCAAAATAGAACAAAATTATCATTACAGATGCACAACAAAATATTTTGTTGTTTTCAGAAGAGCATATTCCATCAGGTTCAGCCAGGACTCTGTACTGAACGCTGTGCTATGTGAAGACATTTAAAGGGGCAGTTTGAGCAAGCACATTCACTACCTGATAGCTCTAGCAAATGAGTGATGGCTTTTAAGTATTAATGAGTCATTACAAATGTAAAAAGCACTGACAGAACATGCATAATATCCTCACATAGCTGAGTCACTTCATACATTTAACTGTGACCAAAAAAATCATGAGCATTCAATTGAGTTCTGAACTGCTTCTAAGAATTCTTGGGATTTCTAAGATAGAATGTTTAAACAAATAAATCCTAAATTTTTCCAAACTGGTATCTCTTTCATCATGGATTAGTTTCTAGGATCATCCAGGACAACAGAGACAGAAATGTCAGCAACTAACTTCTCAGTAAACCTAAGATTAAATGTACAATATGTGATTTTGTCATACATAAGCACAACTGCCCAACCCAGAACATAATTATTGTTCAAGCATGTTAAAGATATAAATTTTACCTTAAACTCCTTCGGTCAGGATCATAGTTCTCAGGTAGAAAGTGTCCTAAGGTTCGATATATAATCACCATGGCAACAGCATGCTGGCTGGAATCCTCCGGGTGCCGGCGCTTTCTTCTGGCATGCATGTTTTTGTTCTTTACAGTCTCATCCTCCATCTTAGACAAAATCCCATAGTTTGAAGGCTTTATTGTAGGAACCACTAGAGAAAAATGTGATGCCAAATTATATGATATCATCCAGGGTGTGGCTTTATACTTAAAGCAGCAGTGGGCAATTTCATGGTCTGAAGTGGCCACCAGATCTAGTGTGGTGGTCCCTGAAGTCCCCCCAAATTGTATTGTCACATACGCTCAAAAGATAACAAAAGATGTGCATCAGCTGGCTGCAAAAATGTTGCCTATCCCTACTTTAAAGAAGTGAATTAAGAGGTTGCTGGAACTATAGATTTAGAGAATTTGTAACTGAACGTCCAAGTCAAATACTGATTTCATCTGTAGTTCTCCTACTAGTTTCTCCAAGGATCCCCATGGTGGTTCACCACTGCAAGATTTTTATATAATTATTGCACTAAACTAACTGAAGAAAAGTATAGGTACAACAGTATTGATAAAATAATGTAACTTCAAAATAAATAATCATGAGAATAAAAAAGGAGGAAAAAGGAACACATGCAAATGAAATATTCTAATTTTTGGTACACTTGTTGTACAAAATGAAAAAGAAGACAGTACAGGACCTGCCCTGATCATATAGTTTCAATTGTAGTTCTTCTCCATCGTTGTTAAGTATGAAGTCAAATTTGAAGAGGGAAACATTAGGAAATGCATTCTGTTATAGAGTATTAGTGTTGTGAATTTTGTCTCCTCTAAGGCATACCTAATCTTTCTCGAGCAGCAATTTAGTAGTAGATCTGAACATTCTTATTATATGTTTCCAAAAACATTAAGAGAAACCTTCCCAACTTCATGATTTCTAAATATGCTTGTATTGTAATTCTTAGAATTCCCAGCCAGCCAAAGGTTATGCTGTCTTGAAATTTTTGAGTTGCAATCTGCAAAAATTTGATGGGTACAAATTGGAAAGAGCTAATCTAAAGCAGCATCATACCTTTTTTGATAGATGTTTTGAGCAACGTTTCAGGGAACAAAACAGATGATTCCAAATCTTTTGGATAATCTTCTTTGATTGCACTAAAATGTGGTACTCTGGCTCCCGTAAAATTAGACTTTTCAAATATGTCAACAGCAATTACTGAAAGAAACAATATAAACAATGCAAAAGCAATATAAACAATAAAAGTCATAGTGTAGTTCATTTCTTTCACATATGATTTAAATACCAAGTAATAGTTTAGTAAATTTAAAGCTTTGTTAGTTTTCTAGACTATACAGCAGTGTTTCTCAACCTTGGCCACTTGAAGATGTGTGGACTTCAAGTGGCCAAGGTTGAGAAACACTGCTATACAGATACTGGGGGGAAAGACTTAGTTTTTCATGTTCATCCACAGGATTTCTTTCAGGGACAAAGGGGTCAAAACTGTAAAGAAGGGTGTGAGGATAACACGCCTGTCCATTTTTAGTGGTGCCATATTCCGCAACAGAAATATACTTAAGCACTTCTAAGAATGCATTGGATATTTGACAACTTTAAATGATTTCTCAGAAAACAAGTCCCATGTTCTAACACAGCATTATGAGAAGTTGCCTTATATCAAGTCAAACTACTTACTCATCTAATTTATATGGTTTTAGCAAGTTTCTCAAGACTGGAGGCTTTCCTACCCCTACCTGGAAAGGTCAGGGATCGACCCTCAAAGCTTCTGCAGGCAATGCAGAAGTTCTACCATTGAGCTATAACGCACCTTGAAATATTGTTGTGTGTGTTGCAGAGCAGTGATGTCAGTGAGAAATGTCTTTGGCAATAGGGATGTAGAAAAATAAATATACTTCAAGAGGAGGTGTCTTCTTTTGGCCTGGGGGCTGCACTTTGAAGTGTTTATGATGGATGACTGCCTTTAAAAGTTCCAAGGTGAATGGCAGAGTTTTGGGAGGAGATATGTGGTAATTTTAAGGATCCAAACTCATAAAGGCTTAACACATTTATTTTTGCCTTTCTTTCATGAAAAATACCACAAATCATACTGATAAAACCCAGGAACTTTGCTACAGAATCATGCAGGCTGCAAATGGGAGGACTGCATGCAGTCTCCAAATCGTAGGTTGCACACCTCAGGATGTGGAGCCACTTCAATTTCACAATACCAACCAACTCTTCCTTCTATCAGCTAATAATAGTGCAACTGTGCATTACTTGATTATAAATTACAACTGTGCTTTTGGAAGTGCAAGTTTGTATTAAAATCGCTCTTAACATATCCATAATGTGCTATAATGTGTGAAATGTACTGGTTAGCATTAGATGAGGAATAGGAAAACTAGGGTTGAAATCCTCTCTCAGCCATTTAATTTTCACTGAATGACCTTGGGTGAGTCATTCTTCTACCTTCACATGGAAAATAGGAAAACCCATGTCTAGAGAAACTGGGAGGAAGGACAGGATACACACATAATAAAAACAAATGCATAATCAGATTTATAACACAATATATTCTACAGATCAGATTAGTACAAGATCACATACTAAATAAAACTGCTAGATGACAGGAATTAAGGCTCCACTTAGACAGAAGGAAGCCCCCTCAATTCAATGAAACTAAGTTCCTGAGTAAACATTCCTAATCTTCCACTCAAAATAACTGGCAATTTTCTGACATTATATGGTGCCAATTATCTGTTGTTTGTGGCATTCCCCTATCCCTCTTATTTGTCTTCGTGCACAAATACAGAATTTTTAATGTCAAAACTAGCCCTAAATATTTTCTTTGTCTGCTTCTTTCTAGTTCTCATTTAATCTCCCTGTCAAATCCTTCAGCAGTTTCTGAATTCCCCACCAGTGAGGCAATTCTTTGCTTGGTGAAGTTAGAGTGTAACATGTCTATCCTCCTATCATCATCATCTTCCTTTTTTTTGTCTCTTTCTTCTCCACACCATGGCCAAAGCTGTTAGGGTGGAGATGGTGGTGGTGCAGAAGAGGGTGAAAGAATCCCAGCAAGCTGCTGAGTTTGACAAAGGGCTGAGTGATTTTGAAACATAAACAGGTCTTTTTTTATTTCCACCTGGACCAGTGAATACAGGTAGTCCTTATTTAGCAACCACAACTGGGACCAGCAACTTGGTCGTTAAGTGAAGTGATCACTAAGTGAAACTGTGACTGTGCTTATGATCTTATTTCAGCTTTCCTTTCTTTACAGACCTGCAAATATCGTAAATGTGAGCACTGATCGTAAAGTTACTTTTTTATTACTGTTGTAACTGCGAACGTTCACTAAGCAAGGCAGTCACTAAATGAGGACTATCTGCATTGCTTTTTGACCCCTTTAAAAAACTACTTAGCTCTTTCAGTGTTTTAAAACAGTAGGGACTAAGAGCCAGAATTAATGCCACTCTGATGGGCATTTTCTCCCAGCTCTAAGTGTGCTTTTAGAGTGGTTTTGAACAAGCAAGTGGCAGCAAAAGGAAACAGAAGACAAGAATGTTTGCAGGGGGTGTCTGCAGGGGGAATGGGGCAAATGCTGAAATACACATCCCAACATTGGTGAGGCAAACTCTGCACCTTTTGTAGGTGCCTCACAACATTTTATGCATGTACATAAGGGTGAAACTGAGCAAACTCAGGGAGGCAGTGAAGGACAGGAAGGTCTGGCGTGATATGGTTCATGGGGTCATGAAGAGTCAGATACGACTCAACGACTGAACAACAACAACAACAACAAGGGTGGGGCTCACATCACAACATCATGACACACATTTTGTCATTATTACGAAGCATCTGGATTCAATGGAGAAATAGATGTAGAGCTATATCTGTCCCATAGCCAGCCTTCCTGTTCTTTTTCAAATGTGTGTGAGATAGATAGACACATACACACATACAAACACACATACTGTATATGCATGTATACGCATACGTGTGTTTGTGGGTATCCTTGCTATACAGTGCATTCGGAAAGTATTCAGACCCCCTTTACTTTTTTCAATTTTGTTACATTGCAGCCTGATACTACAACCGTTCAAATTCATTTTTTTTCCTCATTAATCTACACTCAGTACCCCTTAATGACAAAGTGAAAACAGAATTTTAGAAATGTTTGCAAATGTATGAAAAAGGAAAAACT